AAAGCAAGAATCAGGTGGATCATAACTTGATATTCCTGATACTGACTTAATCAAGTTCTCTGCTGAACACAAAGTCTTCAAAAAGAGAACTTGTAGATGCCAGTGCATTTGGTGAGTATGAAATAATAAAGAACAGTTTGGTAAGCTTAATGTTTAGTGGTGTTGAGTTAGGACAGCACGATGAATCCATTGACGAAAAAGAGAGCCCCGCCTAGCAACAGGGGCACGCGCCAGGCTGGCTGCATGTGGCACTGTCGTCCCCAGGTGTAGACTGTGAAGCAGTGAAGACTGAATCTCTGAACATGGTGCAGTTCGGCGGCGTCTCGGTTCAGCACCAGCGGGAAAATCTCTCTTCCTCTTAGTTCAGTGCAATAGCACAGTGTGGGAAGGCAGCGCAACTCCTCAGGTAGGATGGTGGCTATGGAGTAGAGAGGCAGAGGGCAGCGTCACCAGAGTCTGCCAGACAGGCCTTGTCAGAAAGCTGAGGAGCTACCCCCAGAAAGGAGCCCGTCCCCAGAAGTAACTCACGAGAAGCAGGCACTTTGCAGAAACTCCACAAAGCATAATTGCAAATAGGCATATTGAAAGTACACTGCACAACTGCCTAAGCAGAAATTGATTTAGGTCAACCATTGTGATGAAAAATATTCCAGCAAAAATAGTCATGAGACAAGAATCATGTAGCATGCATTGGGAGGGTTTGCAAAACAAAAACAGCATGCCCTTGAAACGGTGCCCTACACCAGGGAGCACTCCAGAAGTCCCCCGTGTTCCCTCCCAGTCACTAGCCTCCCAGTGGTAATCAGTTACCTGGCTTCTAACAGTGTGGATTAGTTCTGGCTTTAAATTGTGTATAAATGGAATGAGCGCACATCCTTATGTCTGAATTCTGTTACTCAGCTTTAAGAGATTCGTTCAGTTTTGTAGATAGTTGTACATACATACATAGTATTTCATTGTCTAGTTGTACCACAATTTAAACGTTTTGCTTTTGAGGGGCATTCAGGATTTCTCCAACTTTTGTCTATTATGCAAGCACTGCTGTCATAAATGTGGCAGGAGACAGAGCTCAGCAGTGCAGCGCCTGCCTGGCGAACACGAAGTCCTGAGTTTGAACCCAGCACCTGCTGTGAACCCTGAGCGACGTCTCTGGTGACCGCGTGCGCGCACCTCACTGCCCTCCGTCCGTGGAGCGCGGGCTGGATCCCAGTTTGTCGCGTGCTCCCTGCTAGAAGTGGCTGCCAGCTTCCCAAAGTGGCTGTGCTGATTTATTTTCCTACGAGAGATCTATGCAAGTCCCAACTTGCCCCGCTTACTATTTTTCCATCTTAGCCGTTGTCATGGGCAGTTCTGACGTGGTGGCTTTAGCTCGCCTTTCCCGGCTGAGCAATGGACGCAGACACTTCCCCTTCCTTTAGAAACCCTCCTGCGAGTGAGTCTTTTGTCCATTTTGCGGTTGAGCTTTCCATCCTTCGCTTACTGACTTACAAGATTTCCTTAGGCGTGCTGGCGTTGTCGGGTTTTGCAACTGTATATGTAGACGTGTCTGTTTTCTCCCACTCACAGTTTGCCAACTCAGTTTTAGTGAACGTGTGGTCTTGGATTTAATAGAGTGAAGCTTATCTCATTCTTTTCTCTTATGCTTCATTTTCTTTGCTTATTTCCTGCCTCGGTAGGCATTGCTTACTCCTGGCTTTATTGTTCTACCTTTCAGTTCATTTCTGCAGTAGTCGGGAACTGACTTGTGTACAGGTGAAGTAGAGGGCTCGCGTCCACCTCGCTCACCAGCGCGCGCTGAGAGGACCCCGCGCTTGCCCGCGTGCTGCAGGACAAGGTTCTCGCGAATGGCGCAGTCACGCCCGTGCACGCGCGCCTCCGGGGTTCTGTTCTGCTCTGCTGGAGAGACCCATTCTACACCAGGGCTCTCGATTTGAGCTAGGAAGCTTTATAAGAGTTCCTGATATTTTATAAGTCCCCCAAATTTGTCCTTCAAGAATGCCTTGTAGGGCCTGGGGATACAGCTTAGTGGCATAAGGTTCCGAGTTAGATCCTCAATACCAAAAAAAGAGAATGCATTGTAGGAAGATTTATAAATCTCTGAAAACCAACTAACCTGCTAGTCGTAATAGCATATTTAGATTTTTTTTTTTTAACTTTTGCAGAACCGGGGATTGAACTCAGGCCCTTGCACTTGACAAGGAAGCGCTTATTCTACTGAACCATCTCCCCGGCCCCTTTAGATCTCTTTTTAAAACATTTATTTGACTGTATACTTTTCTCAACTGTATTTTATAATTTTCAGTCTCATACATCTTTAATTGGATTTATTCTAGGTGTTTGGTGCTTTTGATACTGTTTTATTTTCTTTTTTGTATTTGGTACAGGGTCTCACTATGCAGCTCAGACTCACAGTGATCCTCCTGTCTCGTCTCGGCCTCCTCAGCACTGGGATTACAGGTGTGCACCTCCACGCCCAGTCTCATTCCCAATCTCAGCACTCTCCGGGGGCAGAGACGGTGAAGCAGACCATCAATATACTGATTGTAATAAATATTTTTGTACAATTGAATAAATATGAATAAGCAACTAGTAAGTGCAATTTAACTCACATAACAATTAGATTAGATGTGCTAACTGTGCTATAATATTTGTATCTCCTACATCTTTACTGATATTTTGGTTTTGGTCTTTATTACCAGTTATTGAGAGAGTTATGTTAATGAATCTCATTCTGATTGTTCTTTTGTATATTTTTTATTCTGTTCAATTTATTATTTATTTTGAAGCTATGATACTAGATGCGTAGGTATTTAAGACTGTCATATCATCCTCTTAAACTTCACATTGCACTTTAACCCTGATCTTGCTTTATCTTTAGAATTAAAAGAGTAACCATATTCTCTGACAGTATATGTACAACTATTCACATACATTAATTATTTTCATATTGGTTTAGCCTTCCCTCTACCTTATCCTCTTCGGACAGAACCACTTTTCTTCCCTCTTGTCATCTCTGTCCCCCAGGGCACAATGCCTTGCATAGTCTGAGCTCTGTAAGACTGTATACTGGATTCAACTAGAAATCCTGTCTCTTGCTTTAAGAGAATGTCATATTTACAAATCAGATTTTTTCTCTTTTCTTTTCTTTTCTTTTTTTTTTTTTTTTCCAGAACCATTGATTGAACTCAGGCCCCTGCATTTGCCAGGCAAGCACTTATTCTACTGAGCTATCTCCCCAGCCCCCTACAAATTAAATTTTTCATGGAAGGGTATTATAGACATTTCTTATTTTGTTAAATAATTATCTGCTTTGGAGATGAATTCACTTTTTAATGAATCATTTAATTAGCTTCTGTTATATAATTTAGAAAGCAAACGTGGAACGGAGGTGCCATGTAAGTTAACTGTGTTTGTTTAAAATATATTTGACTTGGAATGTAGTTAAATAATTACCAAAATAAATACATGTTTGTTTAAGATAACTTAAGTAGCAACAGTAGTGATTCTTTAAAAAGTACTGAATTTACTCAGTCAAAATCACTTGCCGAAGGCTATTTCTCAGTTTTCAAAGAGCTGGAGTATTCCGCCTCCTGGTTGATCACATTAATAAATGGATGTATTAAGCAAAAATAGAGGCAGAGGATTGTGGGAAGTGAGGAATTTACGCGCGCACGTCCCTTGTTGGCAAGGGCAGAACCTGCATGCAAGTCCGCTGATGCCCTGTGCGTCTGTAGAGGCGAACGTGCCCATGAGAACGCCTCCCTGAAAGCACACGGCTGCTTGCGACTTCCTGAGTGACCGGCCCCTTCCTTTTTTCTTTACGGCTCCTTATCACTAGATTCTGAAGAACCAAAACACACACGAACATCTGCCTCGAGCAAACACCGAGTTTCCCGGAACCCCAAAGCGGAGCCACCCAGCGTGGGGCGGGAGGGCCAGCCTGATGATATTATGTTTATTTTACGCTGTCTGCTTAGTTTTTGTTTCCAGGCACTGGGCTTAATTTAGTTTCCAGAGCCAGAAATTATTGTTGTTTGTGTATCTAAATTTATTAATATTCTTCTTAAGAAATGTTTAGGTGCAGTATATTCCAGGAATCTTTGGAAAACCTCTTGGTGAAACTTAGACTGTGGTTCTGTGAAAGCCAACGAACACACACGTGATGAAATAGACCCTTGGAGGACCCGGGTTCTCCCCAGGCATGCGCATGGGGACGTGGGGTGCTGCCGAGGTCGCCTGGATGAACTCAGGAGGGAGCGCGCCCTCCGCCTCAACTCTGCTCAGGGCAGCCGAGGTGCTGTCCAACCCCTTCTCAGAGGTGTGTGTGTGTGTGTGTGTGTGTGTGTGTGTGTGTGTGTGTGTGTGATTTTTTTCATAGGACAGGGAGCATGGAGAAGCAGGCACCCAGTGTTTCCTCGTACTCCAAATGCTATCCCACTTGGTTCGGGGCCGCAGTAGTCCTGCCCCTGCCGTGGAAGGCCTGCCCTGTGCTGCTTGCGATAAGGAAGCCTCTGATTTGGCGTAACAACTGGCAGGCTGTGGAGGTCTGTGCCACTTCCCCAGCCCCGTGTCTGAGAACACCTGCTGCCCGGGCTCTGCTGGAAAGGGCAGGCCTGAGTACCCCTGACCCCGTCCCGGGTCCCCCACCCCACTCAGATTAGACCAGTGAGAGAGTTGTGGACATTTTTGTGATGCAGGAGATGGAGTCCAGGCTCTTCATGCTGAGCTACATGCCCAACCATTTAACTTTTTTTTAAGACAAAGTTTGAATAAGACCTTAAATTGCCCAGGCTGAGCTCAAAGTTATGGTCCTCCTGCTTCAGCCTCCCAGAGGGCTGGAATAACTGCGTCCAGATTTGCTGCGATTTTGAGTCAGTGTACAGAACGATGAGTCGGAGGTTGTGGACTGCAGGCCAGGGCTCCCTTGAGGGGAGGAGGCTGGAATCAGAGCAGGCCAGAGCCAAACACAACCAAAGCTGCTTGAGAGCAAAAGCATAAATAATCGCAGCAACCCAGTGTCTCCAGAGAGAAGGGGTTAGCCGTGCGTGTAAGCGGCACAGAGAACAAAGGCAGAGTGAACAAGTACAAGAACAGAAGAACGAGCCAAAGAACAGAGACGCACGGCCTTGTGGATCTTCCTCTTTCCCAGCACTGGTCCCGGTCTCATCCAGCTGGACTTTGCTTCCTGCCTGTGAAGGTCTGTAAAACTGCCCACTTTATCTTTACAGTGAGCTCCTTTTTATTTCAGTTAGCTGGAGTGAGAGTTGATTCCTAGCAACCAACAGTCTCTGAGTATGGTACTTCCTTCCCCGGGGGGCAGGTGCTCTGCTTCAGCCTTCTCTCTCTGTCGGGAGAGACAGGGTCTAGAAACACTGCACATCTCATGAGTTACTTTTTCAGTACCATTTTAGGAGAGCACAGCAGCGAGAAGGCCACAAGAGACCCAAAGGAATGACTCCGCGCGGTCACTGTTGGCGTCGACTGAGCTGTACTGCAGGAGTACGGGGATGCGTCCTCCGGTCTCAGTGGTGTTCACAGACGCAGCTAAAAGGCCACCTCTGATTCCCCACTCCATACACCATGCAGTGCAAAGTCTTCTGGCCAATTGCAGATGACCTGAAGCCAGTGGCGGTGTCTCCACTGTCACGATTCACTGAGCACTGTGTACCGTGTCTATGTGTTATAAGCATTCTTTTCAGTGGAGATATATATAATCTGATTCGAACATTTTAAGAGCTGGACATAACACTGGGAGCCTTTCCTTTTCCCTTTTCTCACTCCTGTAGGGCTTCTGTCTGCCTTTGAACTCCTGTGAGCTCTGCTAAGATGAGGAAGATAGGGATCGTCAGTGGCTATTGCTTGCTGCCCACTCCCCACAGAGGAAATTAGACTCAGCCCAGTCACATTCATAAAGTGGTGAGCGAACAAGCCGGGCCCAGCAACTGGAAAGGCTTTCTGGGCTGCGCTACGACTCCAGTGTGCTGGAATGCAGCTCTCGGACAGAGTTAATCTTTGTAAGGGGCAGCGGAGGAGGAGGAGGAGGCTGGAAACACACTGTCCTGCGGTCCACATCTGACCCGAGATTGCAGGTCCACGCTGTGCTTGTATAAGGTTCCTATGCAGGAACACAGGGCCTCTTGGTCTACAGTGTTTTCTATAAATACGAACCAGGCCAGTAAATTAGGGGTACTGGTGGTGTTACAAAGCTAAGATGACACAGGGAAGTGCCAGGACTCCCAGAGATGTCCTTGGGAATTTTCCTTTCAGTGGGCAGGGCCAACCTGCTGGAAAAAGCACCATGGAACTCACAGTGCTTGAAGACCAGTAAGGGAAACAATGCAATTTAAAAATAAAGCCAAATGAAGGGAGAGTGACAGGAAGCCAGGATTATGCACAAGCACTGATTTAGACAAATTATTCTCATTTGTTAGAGGACTGCCTTTCTTCTGACAGACTATGGAAATTTTATTTCTCTTTTCTATATCATTAAAAATACGAGTAATATTCACAACATTGTAAAGTCATCTATAGAAATATAACAAAATGATGTTTTCAGTATGCTTGCTTCTCTGCCATATTATGTTCTTGTCTTTTCTGACACAATAGTGGGATTTATTTTTTAAACATTCCAATTTTACAGAATGAGTCATTGTAAATGTGGGAACCAGATGAATCATCCGTCCATCAATCGGTATCTTTATTTTCATTTTCTTCTTCTATTTATCATTAAAGAGATGCTAGAAATTTCTCTCCAGTCCGGTTTGTGTCACAAGCCGGGGAGCCCAGCTAGCACTGACCTTGTGTGGGCCCAGATTCCTGTCAAGAGCCCCGCTTTGCAAGGGCGAGTGTCCTGCAGTCTCCCAGTGCGTGAAGTCCGGAGCCCGCTCCGGGGCGGCAAGGCAAGCGCGGCTTGGAGAGCAGGAACAAGGGAGCCCCTCCACGCTTCAGGCAGGCCAGGGCCGCCCTCTGCCCAAGGGGCAGCTGGGGAATGTTTAGAGTCCTTACCTGAGCCTGAGTCTGGCAGGTTAAACGTCTTTGCTTGAATATTTAGATCTTTGATGCATTTCAAGTTTTATTTGGGTACCCGTGATGGATGCAAGCCTGGATCAGCCTGCTGCGTGTGTGTAGCCATGTTCCCCAGCAGCATCTGGGAGAGCGGCTGCCCTGGCCAGGGTCCTCCAGAGGCGTGGGGTGCCAATGCAGATAGAGCTGTGCACGGCTCGGGGGTGCTCACCGTAGCTGCCGGCAGATCAAGCGTGAAAGATGCAGACAGGCTACACACTGGAGACCCCCAGTGAGGGACCCACTGGCCCCCAAGAGCAGAGGGCCCCGAGCTCACTGCAGAGACGCACCTGTGACCGCACCAGGAAGCTGAGCAGTCTGCAGGAAGCCTGAGAGGCCCGAAGGTGATGGCAAATGTGAGCTCCTTCAAAAAAACATATGAGATCTTGTACTGTAATGTCATATAACTCAGTAGTGCCCCAAATTTTCTGATCAAGGAGATTATGGGGCCAAAGAGGAAAGTGATCGATGATGCAGAGTGTGCCTAAGGAGAGTCACATGGACAGAAAACATTCTCTCAGGCTTTCACGGAGAGCACATTGGCCAAGCAATGGCCGTGACTCTTCCACATGGCTGACACTGACAAAGGTTCTATAATCTGAGGTACAGGATCTCAGGATAAATCCTGAGGGGATTTCACTGACCTTCTCAGACCCAAAAGCTACAACTCTTGTTGCGTAGGTCTTGCTTTACCTTGGTCTTAACCATCCAGCAGAAAAGTATAAAAATGAAGTAGAAGAAGTAAAGCCATGCTGTTATGTTAAGCTGTAGGGGACTCAGGTCAACAATTTCTGACACAGCCAGTCAAGCAAAAGACCCAATACTATTATGGATTACTGGACTCTTTTAAAATATTTTGCTGAGTTTACACACCTATAATATTCAAATGACGGAACTAAACAAAAAAGGGGATATATAAATGAATGTCCGTTTTATATCTGTATATTCAAAATGGTTAGGATAGATATATAGTTATATTCTCTTAATGAATAGAGGGATTTGTTCTAATAGTGTTTGTAAATAGGATATCATGTCTGCATCTTGTACAACAAATAACCACTAGGAAGACAGTATGCAATGTGTTAATTATTGAAACTGTCCTACCAATTTGATTTGAAACTGTCTCATTGCTATTTGTCTGTCAATAAAATTATGGGAAAAAAAAAAGAGTAGGAACATCTTCTTTCCCTTCTTATTCTATCCAGGCTTATTGGTTGGCCTCACCACCCATGCACAGGGCCGTCTCCTTCTGCAGTAAATCTGTCGTCAGATTCACCCAGATCTATGCCAGCGCAGCTAGCTGGGGTTTCCTTGCAGGGCTGACACCACGGGTAACTCTCACAAAGGTGCTTTCCTAGAGTGCAGCTTCTGGCCCCTCTGTCCAGGTCAGGTGGTTGGGACTAGTGTGCTGGGGCTACTTCGCACCGATTTATGGACCTTTGTGAGGTAACCTGAAGTCAGGGGCTGGGAGGCTCCTCCTTAGCTCGTGTTGCCCAGGGCTACTGAGCCGTCTCCGCGGCCCCATCTGTGCTATATTGGCTCTTTCCAGGTTCCATCTAAACTTTAGCTTTGTCTTTAGTCCTGTGAGGAATGCTGCTGATATTATAATTAGGATTACATTAAATATACGTATGCATTTTAATAAAATGGCCATTTTGGCAATACTGGTTCCACCTGTACAGAAACCCGGGTTATCTTTCCGTTTTCTAATGTCCTCTTTGATTTCCTTTTCCAGTGTTCCCATTACAGAGGCCTTTCACATTCGTGGTTAGATTAATTTCTAAGTCTTGAATTTCCAAGAAACCTTACCAAACCACCTGTTCAATACCTCCCTGTTATGCACTTATAGATTACTTGCTTATTAGAAGACATCTTCTACCAAAATACTGAGGCATGATGAACCTTTAAATTGTCTGGGAAAATGTGGTAAGCCTGAATAATGTGGAAACTTTCAGATAGTATGGATTGAAAACATAAGTATTTGGCCCTTTACTGGTTCAATTATTTAAATACAGGATGATCAAAAACTGCATGCTTTTTCATTAATTTTTATTATAAGATAATATAACAGAAGATATAAAAATAACAGTTTTATCGAGTTTATCCAGTAACTTTTCTCGAGGGCCGACCAGATAGCTCAGCTGACTAAAGTGCCTGCTTAGGCAAAGTGTATCCTGGATCCTGGTCCCACATGCCATGCTGGCCCCACCCCCAGGGTGTGATGACCTGGTGACAGACTGGGCATGGTGGCACGTGCCTGTGATCCCAGGGAGGCTGAAAACAGGAGAATCACTCTGAGTCCGATCTGGGTAGTGAGACTCTATAGGCCCTGAACTAAACACATTGAAAACAAAACAAAAAAGCCCTTATACTTCAGTAACTTTTCCGTATATGGTGTATCTTCACACATTCAACACACAATGCAACGTTACAGTATGGACAGTAGTATAGAGTCTTTTCCAATTCCTTCCACATTGTTGTCTTTCTTTGAACAACACCCTTCACACTGTCTTGTTGGCCTTTCCTCTTTTCTATGGGTAGCATAACTTTAATAAAATCTCTCCCCACTAAATGTAACGGTGAAGCTGCTGATGGTGGATGTCCTGGTTGGTGTTTCGTTACCTCATATTTTTCAACTATTTGGTTTATTTGGCCTAATCTAATTTATAAATGACTTTTTGGACACCCTTGTTTCGAATAAATCACAAATTCCATATTTTTGGCCTAGAAGATGCGTAAGTATTTTATGATTACATTTTTCCTCATGTTTTGTTTTGTTTTGTTTTTTGGCTCCGAATGCCTCAGGGCAGGTTTGGCTGGCTTGAGTTGTGGGGATCGAACCACAGCAACCTGAGCTTGGTTGAAGCAGCCATTTAAAGAACTGAGCCAAGGGGCAGGCCCCCTTTCCTCATGTTTTGATCACAGCGTTGCTTGTTAATGTTGGCCAATCTGCCAGGACCACCCAGAGAACTGGTATAATCATTGACCACAGCTGGAATTTTTTATCTTTGCTTCTTCACAGTTCTGTCTCTCCTGCGTTGTGAGTGGCGCCACAAACGTACGTCGTTCTGTTTCACAGCGGGCTTCCCCCTTGCCGTGCCAACATTTCTCCCTTCTCAGCCTTTCCAGATCTCGTGGCACTTCCTCCCTAGTCAGCCTCAGTGTCCCCAATAGTCCTGTTTCATGTCATAAGACAATGTCATTGAGCTCTGCAGAACTATAAAAATTACATCTAATCTACTTACAGCAATCTTCGATAGACTGTAGTACCGAATTAAAGTTTCTTTTCCTTTTACTAGCTTGTAAAAGAAAATAACCAGAACTTATTATTATATTTCAGTAGAAACAAACATTACAGGTGAATACAACATTCTAAATTTTTTTCTTTTTTAATGCATTTAGTATGGGGCTACAGGGTCTCACTATGCAGATCCGATTCGTAGTGATCCTCCTGCTTTCAGCCTCTCAAGGACGAGCCACCACACCCGGTCTCGGTCACCTTCTCAGTGCACCCTGGGGACGGGGCCCACATGCCAGGCCGGCGATCCAACCCGGGTCCGTGTCTGCCTAAGCAGGCCCTTTAATCCGTTGAGCTAGCTGGCCGGCCCAACATTCTAAATTTTAAAAGCATGCAAACAGTTGCTGATATAAAACAAACAGAAGCCTGAGCATACGTCATGCACTCAGCTGTCGACATGGCCCCTGCTGAGCAGTGCTTGGATGGCCAGCACGTAACCAGCGTGCTCCCAGCTGATGCCCAGGTAAGCCACTAAGTGGTTAAGAGAGCTCCTGCTTCGTGGTCTTTTGGTGCAGTCTTCCATGTGACTTTATTTGTAATAACAAGCATTGGCCTGGACATAACTGATTCCATTGGCATTCCCTTCAGCTTTCTCCCTGCCCGCTGTTTTATACAGCTTTCCAATCGACATGCCTGAGTCTGCAAGGAATAGGCTGTGCTTTCGGGAGATTCTAAATTTCCTTTCAGGGACATTTACGGCATCAGGGTAAACTGGAAAATTGCCATTTTCATCTGGAGCAACGGACTGCCAGCAGCTTCCCATGGCTCAAACTAAGGAGCACTGGTTGCTGTTCCAGGGCTGAAGTTCTCCCGTGTGTCAGCTCAGGCCCGTCCCGAGGGTCTGTGAGGTGAGTGTGATGCGTACTTTGCAGGGTTGATGTGAGGCTCAGCAGCCACATGTGAGTGTTGTACCCAGAAGTCCCAAGTGTTCAAGAACTACTTCACAGTCCCATGTTATTACCAACGTACGTAACTCAGAGGGTTTCCTCACTTTTCCTGTAGCAATTTCTGCATGTATGGCAGAGGGTGGTTGCTGTGGTAAAGTGGAAAATACTCGTTAGACAAGCATGATTTTAAAAACCCCAGTACTTTTAAAGGTCTCCCATTCTGGTGTGCTCTGACATGCCCTAGTAAGGTCACAGATAAAGTGTGGCATACTCGGCAGAGTGGCTAAATAGGAAATGTACTCAAGCAAACCAAGAACAGCTAAAAAAACCCTAAGCCCTGAGCAAACATTCCAAACTTTTGGCAAAGGAATTGCACTGCCTGAGTCCCCATGACTCAGTTATTAATAGTGACTCATTTTGCCATTTTTGAGCAGACATATATTTTTATGTCATGCCGTATCTGTGAGTACGAACCTTCAAGACTTGATGGGCTCTTGAAAAATGTGTTATCCTGGGGAAGAGCGGGCAAGGAGGATGCCGTTCTGTCTTGCGTGACACCTGTCACTGTGCTTGTCAAATGCGATGACGACAAAGGCGGGCCCTGTGCCAAAGCCCGGGAAGGCACAAGTCCGGCAGGGCAGTAATTTGCCGCAATTTATAAGCGTCTTCATGGCAGTCTAGCTCGGAAGGCTGTGCTCATCCTCCGGGCAGCTGCCTGCACACGGCCCCACCCAGCAGTCCCACAATAGCTGCTGGTCCGGGCAGTCGACTGAGTAAGGAAGAGCGCAAGTCTCAGGCCAGCTGGTCTTGAGAATGGGCCCAGCAGAGCTTCCCGCGCGCCTCCTCACCGGGACCTCGCTGGCCCCAGGCGGGCTGTGCCAGCCTGCCATGCGAGCCGCATTCCCGTGTCCTTCTGCACCCAGCTCCCAGCCCTCTGATGTCCAGGAACGGGAACGGAGCTCTGAAGCCTCCCGAGAGGCACGTGGGCACCTGCGCACGGAACTGAGAGTGTGTATTTGTAGCACATGTTTACTTTCTCGTTGGTAGTACTTCATTATGTGACTTCAGTTAGTGACCCTGATGACTCATTTGCATCCAGATCATTAAAACCCTTTCATTTGTCCATTTAAACTGACTGGAGGTTTGAGTTAATTATCACTTCCCGACAGCCTGAAGGTCAGACCGTTTCCTTTTGTTTCACCCAGCAGTTAATCCCTCATTAAAGGCGCTGGGAAATGAATAATTAAACAGGTGCCATTTTCATGTTTCAGGTAATGAGAGGTCCTCGGATCCCAGAGGGTGCCGGCGGGGGCGAAGCCAGGGCAGTGTAGAAGACTCGCCTCCACAAGCGGGAGCTTCTGTCTGCACTCTAAAGGCCTGGCCAAGTGTCTGCCCTAACCTGAAGCCAAAGAGTAGCTCCGGGCTCAGCTCTGGCTCTCACCACTTGCTCAGCTTGGGCAGAGCAGGTAAACCGTGCCTTTTCTTGGCTCTATATTTAAAATGAATAATAATGGTAACCACCTTTCGGCAGCGAGAATCCCTGAGCAATGGTTATTAGCTGCTGCATGGCATTTTTCTGATCACAGGTAAGTCGTCTCCGGCGGGACCTGGCCCCAGCCAGACATCCACACGGCGGCGATCAGAAGTTCACGTTGGGCCCCTAGGATGACTGCTGAGGATAAATTGTGCTGGGCCCTGGAAAGAAGACCAAGGTAACCCTGTCTCTGTGGCATAGGCTGCCACCAAATTCCTTCTGGTCACTAGGAGAGGATTTGGGGGATGTGACATTGACCAGGGGTGCTCAAGCCCACCCAGGCCAGCAGGGAAAGTGGAATGGAGTGCTGGCACTTCCTCCTGTCGTCTGCACCGAGGTAGAGTAAGTGAGGATGCGTGCTGCGTGGGCGGAGGCTTGCTGGGAGGATGCTGGTGAGGGGCCTAGGCCCCGAGGTACTGGGCCCCGAGGTACTGGGCCCCGAGGTACTGGGCCCCAAGGTACTGGGCCCCGAGCTACTGGGCCCCGAGGTACTGGGCCCTGAGCTACTGGGACCTGAGGTACTGGGCCCTGAGGTACTGGGCCCCGAGCTACTGGGCCCTGAGCTACTGGGCCCTGAGCTACTGGGCCTTGAGCTACTGGGCCCTGAGCTACTGGCCCCTGAGCTACTGGGCCCTGAGCTACTGGGACCTGAGGTACTGGGCCCCGAGGTACTG